AAAGGGTTAACCAATGAGCAACTTGAGAAGTTAGTTGTAGGAATGGGTCTGAAAGTTCCATGAAGGAAAACCCAACTTAGGTGGTACCTGGGTTGAATGGGACAACCTACTTGTGGAACGAAGCACGATCACTGTGGGGGAAAGCCGGATCACCGACTTTACACCCCTCCGTTCCTATTGAGATATAGTGATTCCCGAAAACAATGAGGTTAGCATGGCGCTTTAATGATTCTTGAACTATGGACAACGAGGTCCAAGTGGAGTAATCGGGATACTCCTATAAGAATCGCCTATGTAAGAGTGAAGTGCGGTCGCTTCAACAGATCGAAGGATTTCGGGCTGATCCTGTCTGACACTATCGCAGAACCAGATGCGTGTTCCACGACCATAATGGGCACACCCATGAGAACGGAATGATGGTTGGTTGAAACTTGTGTATTGTATATCGTCGTTTACATAAACGGCAGTACTGTTCAAAGACATCACGTTCTACTGAACAGCCAGTATACTTTACAAGGAGTAGGTTCAAAGGCATAAAACCTACCTACTCTTGCAGGTTTCAACTTCAGAGTTATTTCCAGTTACATGAATTAATTTTCATTCATGTGGGGGATTGTTGGAAATTTTAAAGTAAATTGGACATTTTCGGACATAAATTCGGTAGGGTCCACAAAATTATTTTCCAAAATAATTATGCACGATTAATCTCGTAAGTAAGACGAACGTCTTGACATATGATACGTCATATGCCTTTGTCCCACACCGGTTTCTAAACCTTTCGTATTCTCATATTTAAGTTTAGGCTTTGAATTGAGCTTATGAAAGGAACAAAAAGAGGATTCCTCGCACGCCCGCCGCCGCCGCCAGTGTGGCGTGGCGAGGCTAACTTTTACGAGACCGAATTGAACACGCATGGACACTTCGTGATTAACGAACTGTCGTCCAAGAAGCATGCATGCACAAGGGAGGCGAAGAGGGTGCTGCGGCGCCTCGTAATCTCTGATCTGTCCAAGCGAAAAGCCAACTTCCCTCCTATAAAAGGAGGGCATGGCTGCAGTAGGAAGATACACTCGAAAAAAATTCTTCTTGCGTTATTAAAATATTTCCAGCTATTCGCGTTTCCGATCATCTTCTCCGGCAGTGACTTCCGTCGTTCTCGTTCGTCGGTGCACGGTGCTACCGCCCTAGGCCTTGCACAAAGCGGTTTTATCCTGTGAGGAGATTGCCCATGTTTGCCTGTGCGGGAGGCGGGCAATACTACCTTAAGGAAAGCTCCGGTGACTCCGCTTTCCTTACCTTTCTTTCCATAAACTGCTCCGGTGTTCTTCCTCTCTTCATCCGACGTCTTTGCTAGCCGTTCAAGCGCCCGTCCGTTCGTGTTCCTGCATCCGTTCGAGCATCCAAAGACTCCAAGTTTAATTTTCTTTTATTTTTGTCCTAAAATCCAAATGTTTTATAAGTTCGGATTATTTTAATTTTATTTTCCCGTTGTATTATTCAACACTCATAAGATCATATGCAAACTTTTCTTTTTCACTTTTATAATGCAAAATCATTCAAGCCCTTGATAGTATTCTCGTCAATATATAAAATGTTTTATCAAAATACAAATAATTACTTCCTCCGTCCCATTTTATAATGCCTGTTTCGGTTTACGATTTTTGACTGAAGTTATTTTCAAATCATTTTATATGACAAATGGTATAGAATTAAAAAATAAAAATTACTTATCAAAATACTACATCAAAAGATATACAAAACTAGTAGTGACAACAATATTTTATTTTATCAATTTGCTAACGAAAATAGAGAAAGAAAGTGAATGAAGTTTGACCCTGTGAATAGTGAACAGACATTATAATTTGGGACGGAGGGAGTATAATTTTGAAATTATATTTCTATTTGATGTGGTTGTGACTTGTAATTTAGTCTCGATCTTATTAGTCTCCATTCGGATTTCATAGTTTTATTTGACTTTTCTTGGTCAAATTTTGTATACTTTAACCTTCTAATATAGAAAAAAAAGAATCTCTTCATGTTTAGTAGCTAAATAATAAATTTTGGAGTTCCGATCAACAAAATTGGAAATATGTTCTCATAAGCTCCGCAAAGAATATGGAAAATAATATAATTCACCAAAAAATAATGCTCTCAATTCCCTTTTAAATAAATTACTAATGACGCCCTCCCTTAAACTTACCAAATGAAGTGTGAGTACATCATCAATTACAAAATAGTTTTCACAATTTCAGTTATCTACCATATATAAGAAAAAAGAAAGGTACTCAAAGGTGTCAAAGGGGTTCCAAAGAAGTTGAAGGAAAGATGATGGTTTTGTAGAATATAAAAAGATATATAGGGTAATATAAGTGTAGAAGAAAACTTTTGGTAGTTACTACTCCATATATATTACTCTGTATATATTTCCTAAACAAAACTAAAAAATCACTCAAATATAAGTAAGACATAATTAAATCTTATGCCCAAAATAAAAGTTCAATATTTTTATTTTCTAAATAAAGTTTACGCAGTGACGTTGTGGCACTGTATATTACCATTTCATAATGTTTTAGCACTATATAATAAAATATGGGTATTGTAGTTAATATTTTTAAAGATAAAAAATATGAAACTCATATTTTGGCACTTTCTCCATATTCTAATCTTATTTTAGTTTTTTTTCTGAATAATTATAGTGGCACTTCGTAATCCGTATAGGTGGTGAATGATTTGTTAAAATGTTGTCATGTAGACTCACCACTTATTGTAATTCTATGAGTTTAACTCTTAAATTTAATATATAAAGATAAAGATTGGCCTCGATATATGAAAAAACAATTTTTGTTTATCTATAAATGCAATATCAACAGTCTTTTTTAAAAAGTTGTTTTGAAATATGAAATTTATAAGATACGATAAGTATAAATATTGATATTAATGATCAAAATATTACATTGGAGAGCGTTAAAAGTTAAATGAGAAGATTAAAGTTACTTATACAATGAGAAATTTTAACATGGTCATTTTTTTTCAAGATATATAGCAACCAAACCCATTCTTTTTGTTTAGCATAAGACCACTAACCTAAATATAAAATTAATAAAATTCATTCAGAGAAGTAGGTGCATAATTAATTATTTCATAAAAATGGATGAATCTAAATCACTATTTTATGTAAAAATATACTCACTCCGTCCCTCGTAGATCTTCTCATTAACCCTTTTTATTTGTCCACCATAAATCTTCTCATTACCTTTTTAACAATTAAATATATACCACAATTGTCCCCACTTACTTTATTTATTACACCCACATACCTCATTTAATACACTCCACCCATTTTATACACTCATTTTTATAATTAACATTTATAATCTCTTAATTATAATTACTTTACATATATCTCCTAAAAGTTTTTCATATGTGCAATAATTAGGAATGAATATTTGATCTAATAAGATGTTTTCATACTTTGAGTTAAAATTACCAAGTCATTTAAACCATCAAATGTGGTTTATGATGTGTAAAAAAATTTTGCCAAGTAGCCTGCCATATGTCGAATTTCTAGGAGTTTAACTCTCAAATATTATATATAAAGGATGTGATGTGCCACGAGAAAAATAAAAAAACTTTGCATGCCAAAAACATGAAGAAAATACTCAAGGTATCTAGAATCTAGATTCCAAAAGAATTAAATGCTTATTTCCTTTTTTAATTCTTCCATTTTCAATTGTTTTCTTCCTTTCCTTTTATTCACTTTTTCTAGAATGATAATTACTTTAGTTCATTAGAAATCATCTTAAATAGGACTAAAACATATAAAAAAGTATCAAAATAGGACTTTCATGTTTTTTTCCCGAAATAGGACTTTGCACTGTGTTAATGTGACTTTGCATTGTGGTAATGTGGCAGTGTACATATGCAAATTACTATACTTTTTTGGTAATGTATATGACCATGTTTGGTAATGTAAGTCCAATTTCGGGAATAAAAACATGGAAGTCCTATTTTAGTATATTTTCAATGTTTTAGTCCTAGTTTGGTCTTTCTCTCTAATTACTTTTTAAAAACTTATTAATTAAAATGTATCATGTACAATATTTTTGCCCAAATTTTTAATTAATCTTAAAAATTACACATGATTTTTGGTGTTTAAATATTTTTTAGTAAAATAATATAGTGATATCAATTATATATCCAATCATACTACATCGAAATATCTATAAATTATATTATTTCTCAAATCATTATTGAAAATTAGTTTTAATTTTTTTTAAAGAATTTATAGTACTCCTTCCGTCCGGAAATATTCTTCCCATTTTCCTTTTTGGTCCGTCCAGAAATAATCTTCTCATTTCCTTTTTTAGTATGCTTTTTAAGGCTAAATATCAATAATACCCTTCTATTTCATCACAAATCTACTTTTTTAATACTTTTTAATAATAAAAGAAAATTTAAAAGTTTATAGTTTGTGCATTTTTGAAAATTTTGCATTTTTTTTACTATTCCTTGATAAGCGTGCCAAGTCAACACAGGAAGAAAATTTCCAGACGGAGGGAGTACAAAATTTTAATTAATTTTACTAAAATGTTTATTAGTGTATGAATTTTTTTAATCTCTCCGTACCATTTTATAACGTCTATTTCGGTTTACGATGTTTGACTAAAATTGTTTTCAAATTCTTTTATATGACAAATGTATAAAAATAAAAAATAAAAATTACATATTAAAAACTATATCAAAAGATCTACAAAACAAATAGTGACAATAATATTTTATTTTATCAAATTTCTAATGAAAATAAAAAAAATGAATGAAATTTGATCCTGTGAATAATAAATATGCATTATAATTTGGGACAGAGAGTAATAAATACTTTCTTTATCCACAAATTCTCTTGTGTTATATCTACGGAGTACCAAGTATAAAATAAGCCCGCGATCTAAGGCCCAGTCCAATCCCTACCTAACTGCCGCCTTACTTTACCCCTTAGCCTATCCCCTCACCCCTTAGACGCACAAAAAAAAAAACGAGTCTCCGGGGAAAGGAAGCCCCTGCCGATTGCCGAAGAAAGGAAGCCGCCGTCCAATGTTGGGAGAAGTAGCGCCGCCGCGAGAGGGTGAATTTGGCGACCACTCGGAAGATATGGAAATTCCTTCTGCAGGCGAAGGAGAAATATCACCGCCGGCAGGCCCATGTCCCTGGCTGGTGTTTGACGACGGCGAAGGTTACAAAACGCAAACTTTTTGCTGCAACATTACAGGACCACCTTCCTCCTCGGTCAAGATGTATCCCAAGAGAATCCCAGTTTTGCAAAACAAAAAGGTTGTTTGTTGTTCCCATGGCAAGCTAGTTTTGTGGGATGTTGATACCAAACTGCTGTCACTCTGCAATTCCACCACCTTTGATGACATTATATCCCTTCCTAGTTTGCATCACTTGTCAAATTACGGGATTGATACTTGTCTGCTACTCGACAATAAGTTGGATGATCTCATGGTTGTAATATTCTTGGAAAGTTTTCCATCCATAGTGTGCTGTTCCGTTGGTTCTGAAAGTGAGTGGAGTGAAATAGCATACGGGGAGCAGTTGAATGCTTATTTTCCTGATGACCTCATAGAAAAGTTTGAACGTGCTGGAGTCGGACCTCTCTTTTTTAGTAGGGCAGCAGTTATTTGTGACAGTATACTGATTGCCAATCTTCAAATAAAACGGCGTGATTGTTTCTTCCTTACGTGGGTGATAGAGATTGTTGATGGAGAAGAACGACTGGGACTGGTGTTTTTTTTTCCGGTGGGTGTGCCTAATGGTACATTTCGAGGACCACAGACTCCTATAAATGTGTATTTGTTGGAATCTTGTGGGGAAATCTTCTGTTTATATTTTTTCACTAAAGCTCTAGCCTTTGAGGTCTACAGACTGAATTTTGATGACCTGGTCTTTGAGAGAGTTAAAGAAGTAAGGGACATAGCGTTCTTTGTTGGGGAGAGGTATTGTCTGTCCTGTCTCATATACTTCACTACCTACGGTGACACCGATAATTTATATTGCTTCTACACACATGATGATAGCATTACGGCGTCTCCCCTTCCTTGTCCATTGCTTTCTTCTCCAACTTGGATGTTTTGCAATGTTATGACTCATGACATGCCTCTCAGGCTGGAAGAAAATCATTGCAACAGAGGCATCATCAGCAAGCAAGGAAAAAATAGCACCACTCAATCAATATGGGAGTTTGATGAGAATGGAGAGCAAGGCAAAAGACTTCGTGACCTTCCTTTGGATATGTTTGAAGAAGTTTCCAAGCATCTCGTAGCATTTGATTACCTGAGTTTTCGAGCTGCGAGTAAAATCTTCCGTTCTATTGCCCCTCCATCAGTTGGAGAAGAGCATTGTCAGATGGATTGGGAGCTTATAATTTCTCTTGTCCATTGCTCATGTTTGCCGACAGAGCTGAAAATGTTTACAAATTTGTAGATCCCAATATAAACAGCAGCAGTTATAATTATTACCTGATGAGGATCCCCGATTCTCTTCAAAACCCGACAACCATGTGTTATTCACATCTAGGCTGGTTGCTTTTCTTGGAACCTCTGCGTGCCGTTCATCTCTACAACCCGTTTACCCGGGATATCATCAGTTGCAACCGTAGGTACGGGGAGGGGGTTGAGGAGAGCACATTTTTCTATTCAAAGCCATCTGCCATTACTACTTCTAATGGCGATTGTCCAATCATTAGCGTTGGTTTCTTTGAGGAGAAGAAAACTATGGTTAAAGTGATCAGCCCCCGCCCCGGGGATGAAATTGTGAGGCATTTTGTTGTGGAAAGCGATAGGGTTTTCAAGGTGGAAAGCCATCTGACAGAAGGACGACTTGGAAAGCTTAAACCAATAGACTGGCCAGTGGGAGACAACTTGAGCTGGGAAGTTCTTGACAAACCCCAATGCCCAGATGGGCTTATTGATTCTTCATATCACAACTACTTGGTGGAGTGCGGCGGGGAGCTGATTTCGGTGTTTGTTGGGCATTTGGGTAAATGGGTTTCGGTTTACAGGCTGAATGGTGACGAAGAGGCTTGGGAAACGGTCGCGGATCTGGGCGGTTACGACTTGTACCTCAGCCCATCTTCATCCTTGTCTGCTTTGGCGACGACAGGAGGAGGGAACAAGATCTATGGCCCTTGGCTTCGTGGTTCTGAAATTGTGTTCTTCTCTCTGGACACAGGCAAATGGCATTTCTCAGGGAGCTGAGACTCATCGTGTGATCTTTACGGTACGAGAATGCACCTCAACTCATGTTGGGTTAATTAGTTTAAGGCAACACTTCTCCGACGTTTAAACTTTAATTAGTTTAAGGCAATCAATACTCAGACGCTTAAACTATAATTAGTTTAAGGCAACAATAAGACCATAATTAATCATCATTGAGTCGAAGTATTTCCAAACGAGTGACTAGCTTAGTCTATGAATCCCGTTTATACATTTTTATCTAACTCATCGAATATTCATGTTTCACAAATCCACACTAATATGAGATCTATTCTAGAGGTCTTCTAGATAGCCTTAACATCAATATTCTAAATGTGTATATCTTAGAGTTCTTCTAGATAGCCTTAACACTACAAATCATTTCGTAATTATAAATGTATTCATTTTATTCATGATTCAATCATAAATACTTATTTTAATCAGTAGGTTCAATACTCATAATCATCTATAATATTCATTTATCATAGTCATCAATTAACACAACAATTGATAATAAATAGCGGCCTAGCTTCGAGTGTTAACACCCGAACTTACCGTCATGCAACACATAACATTTTTTTTAGTTGTTAAAAACATCATTTTTATTATGGTAAATCATTTTTATAATGGTCATAACCCATTGGTATCAAAAATAGGATTTTAGAGCTCAAAAATAGCAATTTCAGACAAATTTTCGGATCAGAACTTCGGGGGATCGATCTACCCCTTTGGATCGATCCATATGTAGAGAGATTATGCCCAGGTGATCGATCCATCCATTTGGATCGATCCAAATAGCCTGGTTTTTGGTTACTGTTCATCATCTTCTTCGTTCGGGTCCAATTTCGAGAATACTGTTTTTAGTTACCGAACTTCAACAAAACTATATAGAGATATTCTCCAAGGTTCATAGATCATTTTGGCATCATTAATTCATAGTTTTAACATCAATTTAATGGTTTATGATTCTTGGTTCTTTAAGCATGTCAAACACAAAACTCAACCAAACGATCGTTTATGAACGTAGAAACGATCTATACGAACATTCTAGTCATTAGATATATCTATGGGCTTACCTCGAAGCTTATCGAAGGTTTTGAGAATTTTCCGGCGAAACTTCCGACGAGTATTTCTCCAAACTCCAGCGACTTCACATCAAATTGACAGCACCTGGAACACCCTAATCCGTCTAGGTCTGCAGCCCCATTCGGACTAAAGCATTTAACTTGGTAATCGTAAAAATTTAAAACTTTTCAAACACACTTTATTAATCCAAATAATATTTTTCAATACATATACAATACGGAGCATTCAACAATTATTGACATATCATAAATTGTTTCAAAACTTGTCACGTCCATCCCGACAATCTCGCCCCATCTACCGCCAGGATCACATTGTGCTTTCTGCTTACCTGCGTGTAGCAAATAAAACACACTACACGCTCAGCGGTAAAGCTGAGTAAGCATATCTAATGCGTTGAACATCCATATAAACTGAATCTAAATTCATAATCAAATCATTTGATATCATGCACACAATGTTCATTTCAGACATTCATAGTTTTGGTATTATTCAGTTCATATCAACACATTTTATTCAATTCAGATATTAATCCAATAGTGCTCTTAAATTATTCTTAATCTAAGGTCAGATCACAACAACGCTCTTAGCTATTCTTAGTCTAAGGCCAGATCATAATAATGCTCTTAGCTATTCTTAGTCTAAGGCCAAATCATAATTTCCATAATCACATTCTTAAAAGGAAATTATTAATCAGACACTTAAACTATCATTAGTTTAAGGCAATTGATTTCGGACACTTAACTGTAGTCAGTTAAGGCAATCAGACACTTAAACTATCATTAGTTTAAGGCAAATGATTTCGGACACTTAATTGTAGTCAGTTAAGGCAACAACAATATAGCGATAGGTCAACAATGGATCAGGCATTCCCAACGAGTAATCCTCTAGTTTGGTCTACGAATCCCGTTTATGAATTTATATCTAATTCATCAACTATTCATGTTTTCATAAGTTCATTCTAAGATCTATTCTAGAGGTCTTCTAGATAGTCTTAACATTAATTAGCTAATAGGTATATCTTAAAGTTTTTCTAGATATCCTTAACAACATTATTCATCAATTCATACTCTTAGTTCAACAATCATTTCATCCAGAATATTCATCATCATTTATCCATAATATTCATAAAAATGAATAATCAATCAATCATCATAATAACTAATAACAATCAGCGGCCTAACATCGAGTGTTAACACCCTAGCTTACCGTCATGCATCACATAAGATCCCTTTTAGTTGTTAAAATACCATCTTTATTCCAAGAAATCATCATTTTATTAATCATAATGGTTTGGTATCAAAATATAGGATTCCATAACTCAAAAATCATATTTTCTAAATAACAATTGATTAATATATGATAGGAAATTTAATTATTAGCTATTAGCTTCATTTTCTTCAATAGTGTAGGGTGAC